GCCATAGATAGGATGGGGGACATAGAGAGAGGGACACAGGGGCATGGCTAGGACAGGGGGCATAGAGAGGGGGACACAGGCGCATGGATAGGACGTGGGACCATAGATAGGACGGGGGACATAGAGAGGGGGACACAGGGGCATGGTTAGGACGGGGGACATAGAGAGGGGCACACAGGAGCATGGATAGGACGGGGGACATAGAGAGGGGCACACAGGAGCATGGATAGGACGGGGGGCCATAGAGAGGGGGACACAGGGGCATGGCTAGGACGGGGGGCACAGAGAGGGGGACACAGGGGCATGGATAGGACGGGGGACATAGAGAGGGGGACACAGGGGCATGGATAGGACGGGGGACATAGAGAGGGGGACACAGGGGCAAGGCTGGGGCAGTGGGAGGCAGACAGGAAGACACAGGATGAAGGGGTATTGATGAGCTGGAGGGAGGTAGACGGGGGCACTGATGGGGTAGAGAGGGAACATGGGCAGGGGGACGGGCTCAGAGAGCAGCAGAAGGTGGGTACAGGGGCATGGAGGGGGCGGAGAGCAGCAGACGGGGGGCACAGGGACGGTAGGGAGGGGACATGGACCAGGGGACACGGGCACGGAGGGCGGCCGGCGGGGGGGGCGGGGGGGGTGCTGACGGGACAGGGGCTGGGGGCGCGGACGGAGGACGGGGGGGGGTCACTCACTGAGCCAGGACTCCAGACTCTCCCCTTCCGCCTCCGCCATGTTGCCGGCCGGGCCCGAGACTCCGCCCCAGCCGCGCGAGAGCCGAGCCGGGCCGGGCTGGGGGAGGGGCGGCAGTTCTGTGGTGGAGAGGAGACTGCAGGGCGGGGGACTGGACCCCTCCCCGCTGTGGCCCCTCTAGTGCTGGGGCTGTTCACAGTGGGATTCCTGAGCCTCCTGCAGCAGGCTGGGGGCATCCTAACCCCCAAGAACAAATGGCTGGTAAAAGCCCCCCCAACTCCTCACCCCAGTGGGCCTGGGGCTCAGACATCCCCGGTCACTGTGTGCGCACAGCGCCCCAGGCTGAGCCGGGACTGTTCTGATTTACTCACAGTACCCGGAGCTCCCTCTACAATAGGCCCCAAAGCGTGGCAGAGATTTTGCCATGCCACTGCGTGTGCGCCCTTGCAGCGGAGCTGACCCCTGAACTGGGTGGCAGAGCGTTTGGCATGGGGAGCCGGCCCCAGAACTCAGGCCCCAGGGTCTAGTTTCACCTGGGTTCTCTTATCCACAACACTAGCCTAAAGGGACAGTACTCAGCTATGTCTGAAATGGAGCCCGGGGCCCCTTACGTGGCTTGCTTTTATTTATTTTGTCAACCTTAACTAGCAAACTGAGGCCCCTTCCTGAGAGGAAGATCCGCATCGGTGGACTTTGCCCCTGTATGGCTCCAGTTGCAGGATCAGAGCCTGAGTTGTTACCCAATTTTGGCTCAAAATCCAGTAGATGGAAACTCCATGCACATGGAAAATGCATATTTTGGACTTGAAATCTAAACTGTGTCGTGGTACAATGACAGTAATGTAAACAGTGATCATAAGACAGGCTTACACTTCATCCTACCAAGACATCACACAGGACTAAAAGCCCAGATACTGGCCCTTTGGGTGACATTTTCAAAAAGCCCAAGTGACTCATGGGACTTAGGCGCCTAAATCGTTTTTGAAAATGAGATTTAAGCTCCTACTTCACTTTGGTATTTTTTAAAATGTTACCCTTTGCTCCTTAATGTGCAGAGCTGGTGCTGAGATATCCTGAGTGCTCCAGTGTGTCTCCAGGGAGCACTATGCAGGGGGCAGGGCCCACGGAGATGATTGCAGTGTCAATGCTTAGCCTATTCATTGCTCTGCATCCCCTTGCTGACAACAAAGTAACTACATGACCCCGGGACGGGGGACGGAGATCCTCCGCCCGAGTGGGGGGAAGAGGGAGCTGCAGCTGGAGCCCAGCCATCCTGGGTGGGGGTGGAACTCAGGCTTCAGCCCTGGGTCCCAGCAAGTCTAATGCTGGCCCTCCTGGCCACCCCATTAAAATGGGGTCCCGACCCACTTTGAGGTCGTGACCCATAGTTTGAGAACTGCTGCCAGAGGCTGCCTGAGATCAGCTGTCAGTATTTGAAAGCTGTGAAGAGGGAGAACCAGAGTCACCATGCCTGATTCTGATTGCACGCTGGTGTAAATCAGGATGCACACACTCCACCCAAGTCAATGGAGTTGCATTGGAGTCAAACTGCTGTGAGAGGAGAATGAGGCCCACATTTCACTCCGCTGCAATACACATGGCGGGGGGAGGGGGAGTGACAGAGTGGGGAAAACAATATCCTGCTGCAACAGGAAAGCGGCCTGCCCCTAGTCAGCAGGCAGGCGCGCCCCGACCTGCTCTGCACACGCAAGTGGCAACCAGGCGGGCGAGAGATAGGAACGCAGGCTGCGGCCGGGGCAGCCTGACGGGGTCCTGGAGCCCGGATGCAAGATGGCGGCTCCCATGGCAGGGCGGCTTGCGGCGCTGGGCCGTCGGCTGGCCGCTCCCGCGCGGGCCTGGCTGCCCGGGTAAGGTGCTGGCGGCGGAGGCGGGGGGCTCTTGGGCAGAGTCACGCGCTGATGGAGGAGAGTTGCTGCCGGGGCAGGTGGTCAGGGAGCCCCCCCCCCCCCCCCTCCCGCCTGGGCCCTGTTCTCGGGGCGGGGACAGGCCGCTCTCCCCCTCCCCGAGCTTCGGCCCCGCTGCCGGGGGAAGAGTGGGCAGCGCGACTGGCCCCCCCGCCCTGAACCAGGGGAGGAGAATGGGACATTCAGGGGCGCTGGAACAATTTGTATAGTGGGGATGTGCAGCCACTGAACCAAACTAAACCCTGTATATCCGAGTACCCCAAACTGTGGGGTGCGCTCCTCTTGGGGGATGCAGAGGAACGTGGGGGGGGCGTGGCTGGGGCCTAGGCCAGCCCCCATGGGGGTCAGGGAGGGAGTGCCACCCAGCTCTGCTCCTGGCCTTATGCCCTTTCCTGTCCCAGGGCCCCCGGCTGTGGCCCCAGCCTCGGCCCCCTTACTCCCATCTGTGTCACCCCTGGAGCTGTGACACAGGGGTGGGGCACAGACTGGGGTAAGGGGGGGTGACCCTGAAAAGTTTGGGGACCACTGCTGTATATCATAGAAACCACTTTAAGCCAGTATGTGTAAGGCCAGCCTCGCACCCTGGGATCCTTTGTGGGGGAAAGATTCATTCTAGTGATGCTTAGTAAGGCAATGGCGCTTCCTATCTTCAAAGCTTTGTGCATGCACTAGCCGCTCCTTGCAGCACCCTGGGGAGGATGGCAAGTGAGTGTGTTCTGGTGGTGCTGCCCCACTGCAGTGTAAGTGCCACTGTAGATTTTGGTCTCTTGAGTTGCCAAGTGTCACTCATTATGGATTATTTTAAAATCCTTTTTAGAGCATCCAGGGAGGATTTTGCTGGGTGTTTCAAGAAAATGCTTGAAATCTCACTTATTGACATTGACCTAGCTTTGCCTGTTACTCCAGTGGAGTGATTTTTCTCAACGTTTGCTCTGCTTTCAAAGTCTTTCTGCTCTTCGTCTGTGCTGCCTCTCAGGCCTGGAACCAATCTCTCCTCTCCTCATTCAAATCCTTTCTTGGAACTTGCTTCTCTTTTAAAGCCCTTCCATTGCTATTCCACCAGTGAAAGATGTGGGCCGGTATAAGAGCGGCTCAGATGTATCGTTGTCCCTATACTGCTAACAGCTTTAAAAAAAAGTTTCACTGTTAATGTGGCAGGGGCGTGTGCTTTTGGAGCAGGAAGATCTAAGTTCTAGCCCTACTGTTGCTATGACGTTCTGAGCAGTCACGTTAGGCTGCACAATGACAACCAGGAAGTCCTAGATATTTGTTTCTTTTGTGAAAAATGGTGCTCCCAAAAACATGTTTATTTCCCACTCCCTCTTGTGGATAGCATTCCCCTTACCATACCCTGTGGTCTGTTCTTTCACTATGTTTTTGGTCTGACTTTAGTCTCCCATCCTGCAACTGGTTTTATACAGGTGGAAATTTGCACCCATGCAGATCCAGTTGCAGGATTGGGACCTTTGATTTCAAAGGGTAACCAGGATCTTTGCTCCTGAGGATAGGTACCTTGTCTCTGTATTTGTCTGTAAAGCACTGTGCCCTCTTGTGTACCTCTATTAATAAAGTGGCAGACAACTGCAGGATAATTGTGATCAAAGCAATATTGCTGAACTGGAGACTCCAATTTGAATGTTAAAGCTCAGGACTGCCACTTCTGTTTTCTTCCTTGAACTTCAGTTGTATTTTTTGCTATTGCTATTCTTGTATGTACTTTTAATTACTATAATAATGTTTGCAAGTGTACCCCACTTTAAATAATGAGCCGGATCCCATTTCCATTGAAGTTAAAAGGGACCAGGATTGGGACCAGAATTTTAAATTGCTCCTAGAATTGAACCCTTTTGCATTTATTATTGTGTGGATTGTATCCTGGATACATTATTAATGTTACATTATTTGGAGAGGCTTTGGTGGTAGGATCCAGAGGTAACCGTATTCTTCCCCTATCCCTCCAAAAAAAACCCATAGTTCCCTGTTAACAGTAACTAAAGGGAAAGCAGCACCCTATTTAGGACCCCAGAACAAAGTACATCTATATAACTTTTACAAAGGAGCTGTTTATAAGAAATGCTCCCTCCCCCCCCCATCTGTCAAAAGTATTAAAATAACATTACTCTTTGACCAAGATTTGTTTGTATTGATACCAGTGAGAGGTGATGGCACTTGGAACCTCACAGTTTCAGGCCTTTAACTTTTTTCAGACTTTAGGGCTTGTGGGATTAGCATCCCTAGTGCTTGCAGAGAAAGTGGTTGGCAGCCTCTCAGGAGTTTTCTGTATATCCTCAGGGGGAGGGGGAGAGAGGGCACCATTGCTGTTTGGGAGTAGCTCAGGTGAGTGGTTGGCAGAGAGGGAGAGACGGCATGCTGCTATCCAGGCACTATATTCTTATTGGTTTTATATTAATTATTAACTTTAACATTCAGCAGCTTACGGGTGACCAGAAGTTCATTATTTGCCGTGTGGGAATTTTTAGACCCTATTGATATTGCAGTCTCTTTCAGGAAGGGACTCTATTACAGTGTGTTTGTACAGCACCCAGCACAATGGGCCCTGATCCTGACTGGGGCCCCAGAGCAGTACTAGAATACAAATCATGCTAATAAAGGTGGAAGGGTGCATATCCCCAGTACCAGTCTCTTTCCCTATCTGTTCTGGGACTTGTTCCATAACACTGGAGATGGACTTGGTGAGCCAGACTGAGGAATGCTGTATACAGCGATGTCAATTTACAGACCCCTTCATCCCTTCTTACTCTTTGCAGGTTGACCCAGGTGAGATGGAGCCGGTATGGCCCCAGTTACCTCGAACCAGAAGTGAACAAGGAGGTGAACCGCAAACCCCTGGAGGAGCTGTCCGAGGAGGAGAAAACACAACGGGAGCTCAAGGCCCTCCAGCCCATAAAAGCTACAGCTTCTAATGTCACCAGCTCTGTGTTCAGTGACCCTACAATCAGGTCAGAAAGCACAGTCTCCTTTGTTACAACACCAGCTGTCTCCCAAGGATCAAGGACAGTTTATCCTGCTCCCACTGAAGTCACTGGGAGTTTTGCCATTGACTTCAATGGGAGCAGGACTGAGTTCGTTGCTCAGAAGGGCTGAGCAGCCACAACCCCGGTGGACGGCTAGAGGTCAGCTCCTAACAGGATCATGTCCACAGAATTCTCTTCCCCTCTCCAGAATGAGGGCGGCAGATGAGTTGGATGCAGAGGTTTGTTAGTGAACTCTCTCTACCTGGATAGGGATTTGCTGTTTAAATTTGAATAAATAGCTCTTATTATGAAACAATGTAATGGATGGAGTAATTGAGGGTTCTGCTTCTGAGCCCACTACTGCTGAGAAGTAAAGCCATTGCAGTGCCCTCCCCCCCATGCCTTTGTCTACCGGGCTGCCCATTGCCTTCCTGTTACTCTGTGTAATCCAGGGGTCAGCAACCTTTGGCCCGCGGCCCGCCAGGGTAAGCACCCTGGCAGGCCAGGCCGGTTTGTTTACCTGCCATGTCTGCAGGTTCGGCCGATTGCGGCTCCCACTGGCCGCGGTTCGCCGCTCCAGGCCAATGGGGACTGCGTGAAGCTGCGTGGGCCAAGATATGTGCTGGCCGCTGCTTCCTGCCGCCCCCATTGGCCTGGAGCGGCGAACTGCGGCCAGTGGGAGCTGTGATCGGCCGAACCTGTCGATGCGGCAGGTAAACAAACCAGCCCCGCCCGCCAGGGTGCTTACCCCAGCAGGCCGCGTGCCAAAGATTGCCGATCCTTGGTGTAATCCCTTTATTTGGGTTAATCTCTTCCCAGGAGGAAGATCCGTTGAATAATAGTGGTTAAAGATGAGCACAGCCACCCAAATCCTAGCAGGGATAGGATTTAATCACAGGAACAACACAATTAGGGACCTCTGGTGATGGAACCAAAGTTCCAATTATATCATGTTTGGTTTTGTGCTTGCAGTAAATTCACCAACATGATGATGAAGGGAGGAAACAAAGTGCTGGCCAGATCCATCGTTACACAGGTGAGGGGACTGGAATCTCTCGTGTTTAAATATTACATGCCAAAAAAATGCATTAAAATAACCTTATTAAGCTTGCCAAGGGAATCACTCAGAAGTTATGAAATGCCAGAAGTAAGGTTGCCTGTGCAGAGTTTGTCCCCTCTGCAATCAAATCAGGTCGCTTTCTCCATGCTGCCTGGGCCAAGTAGGAGGGTCATTGAGAATACAGGAGAGACAGGCTCCCTGCTTTCAGTTCCAATGCCCAGCACTGGCACAGACCGCAGCAGCACAGAGCTGCAATTGCAGTGAAAGTCTTACTCAGCCTTGGGATGGAGCATGCCTAGTGCACATGGAATATAGCTGCTAAGCTCTCGCTAGTATCTACTGAGCATGTGCAAACTGCAGTTTTCTTCAGTGGTTTATAAACTGGCCACATTTGGGTGAATTTTCACAGGGATGGCAAAAGGCACATCCCTGACACACAGACCACCCACCTTCCAAATTTGAAGTCCCTGTTCCAAAGCAAGGGAGCACTAGAGCTTAAAGAAAAGGTTGCAATAATTTTTTAACATGTACAAAATGTTTTTTCCCTAGCCTCATTTTCGGAACTGTTCTGGATAAAATTTTCCCCCAAAAATTCATGCCAAGGCAGACACCCAGCATGGAAAATGTCAGCCCAAAGAGTTGAAATTTGGCCGAGTTATAAGCAACTGAAAATAGTGGTTTTATGAGAAGTGTTGGGCAACACTAATAACAGGTGGATACTTCCTTTCTATAATATTAATACTTAGCACTCTTTATCTGAGGATCGTTAGTCTCTTCACAAAGAAGGGGGGTATCATTATCCAGATTTTACAGGTGGTAGCTGTGATACAGAAAAGTCTAGTGACTTGCCTAAAATCAAAGAAGACAACTGTGGCAAAGCCAGGCATCAGAACCAGGTCTCCTGCCTCTCAGGGCATCCCTGACTGTTCACTGAACCAGGCTGCCTCCCTTTGGGCATTAGTTGATGTGGAGCTGAAGTCTAGAAGACTTCTAATTTCTTCAGTACAGACCTGCCCCAACTTAATGGGCTTCAGGATTCCTGATTTAGGGGGCATCCACTAGTGCTGTAAAGGATAGTGTGTGTTGCACGGTCAGTATGTGTTGGATGATGGGTATAAGTTGACCAGAAAAGTGGTGACTGCAGCATAGTAGTATGATATGTAAACTGGTGTAACTGATACGCTGAGGAGGTGGAAGTGCATCTTGGGAAAATCTCATAGGCAGTTGTAAGGTGAGAGTGGGGTCAGTATTGCTTTATCTCTTCTCTGCTTCCCCCCATTTGTTGGTGATCACTGCTACACTTCACACCTACCAATGGGCTATAAGAGGGAAAACCAGTGAGGACTGGACTCCAGCAGAGGAATATGTCTGAGTGTGGAAATCTGGGGTAAGGAGGTGAGGACTGAGTAAAACCTGTAGTTGCTCAAGAGCACCCCCCTACTGGCCTACTTAAGGTGTAGTAGGGTGGAATCCTCCATGGCCCAGATTTCTCAAACGAAGGGGAGAGTGTGTCTGAAATTGTCTTGATTCTAACTTCACTCTGGAGTGGAGTAAATCCTGTAGGGAAGGCAACTGTACACTGAGGAGCATGGGCATGTTTCCTTGTGTTTGTATTTAGACCCTAGAAGTCATTAAGAGGAAGCAGATTGAGAAATACCATCAAGCCTCTGAGGAGGAGAGGGACAGCATTGAATGCAACCCTTACATCATCTTCCATCAGGCACTGAAAAACTGCCAGCCCGTCATTGGGCTCTGCAACGTCCAAAAAGGAGGCAAAACCTACCAGGTAAACAGAAAAGGGATCTGAAGGCCAGCCTAGGCTAGAAAGAATTGGACAGGGGGAAAACTACCAGTGTCTTTCCCACCTCTCCCAAAACCTGTTTGCATTTCCCTTGGAAGTACCATTTATTATCATCTGTATTATAATGGCAGGGGTCTGTAAGTGCGGAGTGCTGTACTTACCCATAATTAGAGAGAGTTCCTGCCCCAAATCACTTGCAATCTGAATGGATAAAGTGTGGGAGGGGAAACTGAGGTACAGGGAGGTGAAGTGACTTGTCCAAGGTGACACAACCTATCAGTAGCAGAGCCAAGAAACCCCCCCCCCCAGGTCTCTGGAATCTCAATCTGATGTCTTATGGCTAGACCATGCTGCCTGTGTGTAGAACCAGCAGAGCAGTTCAGCCCCTGCAGAAGGCAGGTTAGCACATAGAAAAGGTTCATATAGAGACCTTTGGTTTATTTAAAGCCTTGACAAAGGCTGTCTCTTCAGCTCTCCTAATTAGGTAAATGCACCTAGATAACTCATGGGATTGTTAATTAAATATGGAGTGCTTCACCAACCTCCTATGCAGCCAATAAATTACTGCCCTCTGCTGGTTGATCAGAGACCTGCGGGAAATAGCTTAGTCAAGTTCCCATAGACAAGAGTCTACATCCCAAAAACCAGTCTGTAAGTGGCAGTGTCTGCAATGAGGCCAAGAACCAAATGGAACATCCCTCTAGTCCCAACAGGTGGCTACCGCTCTTGGGCAGGTTTGAGGCTGCCAACGTGGGAAATCTTGCACTGCTGTGCCTGATCTGTGGATTGATAGAGGCAGACAGTTTGCTGCTGCTGCTGGAGTTGGCGTGGAAGGTTTCACCAATGCTAAACTCACTCATGCTTGGCTAGAGTTAATTTCTTCCCACCCCCTCAGCACCAATCACTTTTTAATCACCTGGGAGTGTTAAACAATTGAAAAAAGTTATTTCAGTATATGGTCCTATTGTGGGGTAAGGCATTTTAACCGTGCTACTGCTTGAATGTCTGCTAGGTCCCAAGCCCTCTGAAGGACAATCGGAAACGCTTCCTCGCCATGAAGTGGTTAATTACTGAGTGCAGGGAACATAAGCATCATCGGACATTCATGCCTGAAAAACTATCCCAGGAACTGCTGCAGGCCTTCAACAATGAGGGCCCTGTGATCAAGAGAAAGCATGACATGCACAAGATGGCCGAGGCTAACCGGGCATATGCCCATTATCGCTGGTGGTAGGGGACCCCCTGAGAGCAAGAGAGACCTTGCCTTATGACAAGAACATTTCCTCACACCCCTATACTTGTGGAGCCCAGACCTGTGAAGAAGCAGCCTCTGTCTACTTTCTGCAGAGATGATGTATAGGGGAGGTTGCCTGCCAGCTTCTGTTAACTGCTTCTAGGCTGGGTCCTTAAGCAGAGAAAAATCAAGATGAAAAATGCATCCACAAAAGCTTCATTCCCTTAGATGTTTTTCTGAGCAACACTATAAAATATCCTCTTTCCTCCACCTACCTGCTTTCTGAGGGCAGGGGAGGGGATGTCTTCAAGTCAGTCTACTAACATGATAAACAAGTTTTTGCTCGTTAGCATCCAAGCTGGAATGTATTCTACATTGTGAATGTTCTTTGTGTGTGTCAATGCCAGAGACAGAAAAGCACCTAGTTTGAATTTTAGATTGTTGCAATACTGTCTGTTAGCAGAATCATTGTTTGACTGAGCACATGTGATCTGGATGTTAATGAGAAAATAAAAATGGAACCTCTCTATCATCCTCAGACTGACTGTCACCACATCCTAGTGCTGGCTGTCTGCCTTAGGGTTTTGTACTGATGCCCATCACTCTACCAGAGCAGCGGTATTTCTCAGTCCTCTAGTGGGTCAGCTAAAGGAAGGGTTATTCTCTAGGAGATGCCTTCCCACCTACACTCGGCTAGACAGAGTTGAAATCCTTCTCTTGTCCTGTAAAAGAGCTGCTAGCACTTCTGTACCTGTTGTGCTTTGCTGGAAAGCACAGAGCACTTTTGCTCACTGCAAAGAAAAAGACTGATAGTTTGAGGAGGATGGGGAAGAATTCAATACCACAAACCTTGGCCTCTGTTTTGATTTAAAAATCTAAATTCCGTGCTCACAAGCAACTCTGCCACCCTGTACCAGAGGAAAACTAACCCATGGCAATCTTACAGAAGAGATCTTCGTGTCCTGTTTGTAGCTACCTCCATAGTAGCCCAACACCCTAGAAATGTTACAAAGCAAGAGCTCTGTGGAGAGAGAAAACATGGTGTTCATTAGTGGAAAACTTTTATTAGAAAAAACCTCAATAGAACATTTTTGTCCTTTGCTTGTCCCTTTTGTCAACAGAAATGTACAATATTGAAATTCATTAAATTTTTTTTTTTTTTTGAAAAAATTCCATAGTGGTTACTATATAAAACTCATAAAAACAGTTTCTAGCTACATGTGCTCAAGGAAATTGCTGCTATGATGTACACTAGCTGGCTTCTCCTTTCTCCAGAAGCAGGTGTTACTTCTGCTGTCCATAGGCACCCAGCCTGCCAGAGGGCAGGGTTGGGAGAAATAACAACTGATTGCCCATGTAAAGGGCTCAATCATTCTCCCATTGATTTCACAGGGAGCAAGATGAGACTCATCCTGGAGGACTGTTTTTAAAGCTTGGTTTGTGTGTTATGGGCACGGATTCCATGTGGCAGTAAGCAGCAAAGAGGGCAGTTTTCCAAATAAGCTGCGAAAGCTTTTCCTTCCACTTGTCTCAACTCTGTTGGTGGCTGACGAAGTTGGCACATAAGAGCTGATCTCAGTATAAACCATTGGCTGTGCTTTCCTGACTGCTACTGTAAAATGCTGTTTTGAGCTGGAAGCTGTGGATACAGTTAATCAACAGTTTGAGAGGCATTAATTAACCTGAACCATAGATAAAGAGAATGGAAGCTCTGGCTAGGTTAAAACTGCCCTTGCCCCCCAATCAAACTGTCCCCCGTTGCAGTCCAGCAAAGACACAGTACGAAGGGTCTATTGGGAGTAAACAATATAAATCCTATTTAGAAAAAGCATTAGAAAAATGTTAACTTAAAAATATCTGAAACATATTTGTGTGACGTTTGCTCGTGAAAGTGCCAGGGTGAAACTTTGAGCCTCTGAGTGAGTTAGTTCTGGCTATGGAAGGTTTAATCTGTGACTTCACTGTAATAGTATTTTTGAGCCGCATCTGTCATCTTCCAGTCTGCAGCCCGGAACTCTATGATCTCCAGCAACAGGAGCTGAGAGAGTGAGCTGAGCCCCTCCTCCAGGAGAAAACCATCTCGGAGAAGGGAGAAGAGCTCATCCATTGGCTGGGAGTTCATCTTCTCCAGCTGTTCACCAATGCGGTGCAACTGCAGCACCAGGCAGTCCACCTTAAAAGAGGAAAGGGAAAAAGCCACCTTAAGATGGTGTGGGGGCCGATGGTGTTTCTAAATAGAGCTCCTGCCCCATCACCTCTAAATTAATCCAGGCTGGTTCTCCCCACCTTGTTCCCCTGTATTTCTTTCTACTACATCCACTTTCCTTAGGAAACTGTTAGTTGCCATCAATCTCTGGTAGTGGCTAGGAACCTGGATGTTGATAGCTGCTCGGAGGGGGCTCTCTGGGAAGGAGGGGTGTCCATGAGATCCCACAGCTTCACACATGAAATTGCTGAAGAAACATGCTGGCAGCAATTCACACCATTAGACCTGCATCAATTTATGTTGAGGCTCCCAGCAAGTGGCAAAAGCTGGATCAACATGTCCATAGAGCGCCTTCAATGGGTGCAGTATAAACACCTGAACAGACAGAACTGTCTGAACCATGCTCTGTTTCCAGGGTGACTTGGATTCTTTTGACCATATGCTGGTTGCTCTCACATAAACTAACAAGGAACAGCAGCACCTGCGCTACGAGCAGGAGGCTCGTAGGGCTGAGTGCTTGAAGGGTATGTTGTGGTAGGATGCCAATGACTTATGAACTTTATAACAGCCCTTGGGTTGTTTCAGTGCCTTTGGCATTCAGAGGCTCTGATCACTGCACAGCTACATCAGCCACGGTCAGATCTGGAGCGTGAACTAAAACTGTTTGGAATGGGGGAAGAATGGAACTGTGGTTGCAACATAAGTATGGATGCACCAGCACCTCCATAATTCCTCCATTCGGGGCTGCGGGGAACTTCCCATCTTACAAGCCTCCCTTGTTCCCTGCCCCCACTCCACTTACAATAGGTACGAGGGAAAATAAGTTCTGTTCAGCTCTGTGCCTCCCTTTTGGTTCCAGACATTGGTTCAAACCATTCTCAGCAGCCCTTACAGGACAGTATTTTTGCCAGTCACTTGGCTGTACAAACTCTCCTTGCATGTTAGCATCTCACCAGCGCTCACCTCCTCCTCCTTCTTCAGGCTATCAGGTTGCGCCAGTCGGAACAGGCATTCATAAACTGGGTTCACCAGCGCCATCATGGGCATGTTGTTCACCTGTTAATGGGCCAGATGCACATATCAGCTCATGGGTAGAGGAGGCAGAGTTTTATTTTTAAAGAATTGTTCCCTCACTGTTCTCAAATGGGAGGGGAACTGCTCCCCTGGAAACGAGTTATGGTGGCACTCTGGCTCAGGCTCCTGTTGGCAGGATTTGCCTAAGAGACCATATAGAAACATCTCCCTTGGTCAGAGGACCAGGGATCTTTGCATGGGGCAATGGTACCAACAGAGATGGGAAAGTGATGCAAAAATATACATTTTCCAGAAATATTTGATTATATTTTAAAATTAATTAGCTACACCCATGCTTTCCCCCCACATTTCAACTGTGTTCACAATCCTTTCGCCTTCACTGCCTGCCAGCATCTGAACCCATGAGTTCTACGAGCGCAAAGCTCCCAGAAAGCTAATTTCAGTATGCATGCTGAGAGGGCTTTAGCACTCGTCGTCAGGGAACAGGAAAGAATACCATGCAATTTCCCCAACCAATCGCAATTAAGCAATGGGACTTGAATTTAGTACACTCGAGATCAGTCGGAGCAAAGACTCCAAAAAGTGTGTGCCAAACGACCAATAAAGGCATGTGCACCAGTTCCAGGAGCTGTGAGGGATGCTACATTTGTTCAAGGTTTGTTTGTTAAGAATTATTTGCTCAGCTCTACATACCGACAACTCTTCCCTCATCCCCTACTTTATTGATAAGGGGAACAGCAAGCAATGGCCTTCAATATGCAGAGGGGAACATAACAAGTAGTGAAGAGCCTGAACGGTAATGTTTGAATGCAGATCCCCAGCCCACACAAAGTGTAAGGGGTTCAGAACCAAGATTTTTGGGTTTAGCCACAAAATTCAGAATTCGCTCCAAGTTCCAAACCCCTGCCCCTAACTCAGGAGGGGTTTGGTTCAGTTCCTCTTTAGGCACAAGGCAGCAGATAGGGATGTCCTCTGCATAGGCACCTTACCCTCAGGTAGTCAAAGATGTTACAGATGAAGGTGACGTAACAGATCCATGCCTGGGGCGAGCGGGCTCGCAGCTCTTCCCGGTCCTTATACTCCTGCTGCAGTCGGTTAAGCAGACTCCGTCGGAAAATGCTCTGGCCCACCTGCTTGCTCTCTGCCTAGGACCCCAGAACAGCGAGGAAAGGGGAGGACAACAATGTGGGTACCCACATTACTAGGGTCTTTACATAACATTCATCATCAGACTCCCATTGTTGCACAATGAAAGATGATTGGTGGGAGTCTAACTGCATGTGGAGTTGAGGCTACTGTCATGGCCTGCACATCCCTTTCCATTCTCTTCCTCTATTTCAATGCTTCGCTGGAGCTAGAGAATCTCCTCCCAGCATGCAGAATTCCTCAGGCCAGCCTCACTCCTGATCTTATGGGAAGAAACCATTTCAATATGCTGGATAAGTTCCTCTGCCATGAAGGCCACTGCCCCAAGACTAGGGAACCTCTTCCAGTTCAGCCTGAGAAACTGTACTCACACACATGGGGGCAGGTTTGGATTTCTGCATATCTCTGGCAGATGGGGCAAGCGGTGGAAATATTGGTAGCCTCTGTTAAAACGTTTACAAAGACAGAGAGGAGCTGGTCTGGTGGTCAGAACGCAGGACTGGGAGAAAGGAGGTGCTGGGTTGTATTCCCTGCATGACCTTTTGCAAGTCTTTCCTTCTGTGTGCCTGAATTTCCCCTTTCTTTGAAAAGGGGATGATACTCCTCTAGAGGGTGGCATTGGAAGGCTCGGTAGTGCTAGTAAAGTGCTTTGCAGATTAAAAGTTCTCTGTAAATGCTGTAGGACTGAGGCAGGCCCAGCTGAGACGCCAGGATACCCACTAGCACTAGCTGTGATCCGGAAGGGCAGGCTGTGTGACTCACTAAGGATTTGTTGTCAGCATGCTGACATCTTCTCACCTGGATGATGGTGTAGCAGATGCGCCCAGCCTCCTTACTGAACACACAGTCTTTGAGGGACTGGTCCACGATGATATTAGCCACTTTCTCCAGATCCACACTGCTGGGGTCTGCAGGGAAAGAGATGATACCGTGAGTGCCGCACACTCACTTCCCAACACTGCACAGATTCCCCACTTCACACCCTCCCTGCTCGTGCTTCAGAACACCAGGAAAGCAGCTAAGGTGGGAGTGTGTTGTGCTACCATGCTGCAAGAACTCAGGCTCACTCCCAGGCTGGCAGGGACCAGAGGCAGCTATCTCATCTGCTGTAGCCCCCCTACAGACTGCATCAGGGATGGCATCTTCAGAGGGTACTTAGCCCTTTTTGACAGAGACAGTCATCACAAGGGGAGGGGAAGAGGATAAGAGTGAGAGTAGGGGGCTAGTTTAAACTTGAGCTGAATGGGCAACTTTTCATTGTGCTTTGAATATAGATGCTATAGCTGAGAAGCAGGGCTGGCTTTTCCCTATGAGGCCGCCAACCCCAACCCCTCCTACCTGGGCTTTTCCTTAAGAGACCAAACTTCCAGAAAGTAAAAAAATTGCTGAAAAAAAGACAAATGAATATGGCAGTGTCTGTTAAGTGTGTGGCGGTGTCTGTTAAGCCCCTGATGAGAGGAGAATGCTGGTAACAGGCTGAGGAGTGACCGGAGCAAGGGTACAAGAGTCAGGACATTTGCACTTTATTCCTGCTTCTGCCACCAACTATCTGTGAGACCTTGGGCAAGTCACTTACCCTCTCCGTGCCTAAATTTCCACACCTGAAAATCAGGCAATGATTCTATACTGCTCTAATTCACAGGGGGCTGCAAGGGTTAACTAGTTAATGCCTATAAAACCCCTGGAAGACACAATGGAACTTCACAGTTGTCACTGTGCTACACCAGCAGGGCCAACTGAAACTACATGGTGACAATGGAGACAGAATTGAGATCCTTCTGCTCAAAAGCAGAAGCCCTAGCCACTTGAGCTACAGGAGAATTTGTTAGTGGCATAGGGCCTAAAACACAAAAGACCAGTTCTAATTCCACCCAGTTGGGAGCAGTAGTATGTATATACACAAACACATTCTACAGTTATTGTAGGCAGAGCTCTCAGCGTTGCCTATAGTTAAGGTTGCCCTACACCAGTGGTATCCAACGTTTTTACGCCCCAAATCACTTTTTGAATTTAAGGGCAACCCACGATCTGCCCCACTGCTTCCCCAAGGCCCCAACCCTTCCCCAAAGCCCCGCTCTGCTTACTCCACCCCCCCCCACCCTCACTCACTTTCACCGGGCTAGGGTAGGGGTTCAGGAGGGGGGGCAGGCTCTGGCCTGGGGCCAAGGGGTTCGCAGTGTGGGAGGGGGCTCTGGGCTGAGCCTGGGGCAGGAGTGCGGGGGGGGGGGTTGAGAGGTGCAAGCTCTGGGAGGGAGTTTGGGTGCAGGAGGGGGCTCTGGGCTGGGGCAGAGTGTTGGGGTGCAGGAGGGGGTACAGGGTGCTGGCTCTGTGAGGGGGTCAGGGCTGCAGCAGAGGGTTGGGGTGCAGGAGGGGCTATGGGGTGCTTGCTCAGAGAGGGCTCAGGGCTGGGGTGCAGGAGGGGTTTTTTCGGTTCTGGCTCTGGGTGGGGCCTCAAGTCTGGGGCTAGGGGTTTAGGAGGGGGTTCAGGGTGCAGAAGGGGGCATGGGGTACTGGCTCCAGGAGGGGCTCAGGAGTGGGGGTTGTGGTGTGGCCTTCCGCCAGGCAGCACTTACCTCTGGCGGCTCCCGATCTGTGGTGTAGCATGGCTGCCGCTAAGGCAGGCTCCCTGCCTACCCTGGCCCCATGCTGCCCCCAGAAGGGGCCCACGTGCCCCTGCAGCCCCTGGGGACGGGGACGTGGCTCTGCGTGCTGCCCCTCTCTGCAAGCACCGCCCCCGCAGCTCCCATTGGCCATAGCTCCCCGTTCCCAGCCAATGGGAGCTTCAGGGGCAGCGCTTGCAGGCAGGAGCAGCGCGTGGAGGGAGACCCCTGCCCCCCCCCTCGGGGACGCGCTGGCCATTTCCGGGAGCGGCGTGGGGCCGGGGCAGGCAGGGAGCCTGCCTTAGTGGCAGCCCTGCTGCACCACCGGAGATCGTGATCGACCAGTTGGTGACCACTGCACTACACTTTCCATTATAAGACCTAGTTTTCAGCTGCTAACTTTGCCAAACTCAAGATGTTTGGCATGACATTTTCTATATTGGATGCCTGCCTCAGGCTGACGTTTTTGAAATATTTCAGCTAAAATGGTTCAGCTGTTTCTAAGAATGAAATTAGGGGAAAACATGTTTACTCATGTTAAAAAATGTCCTACAACTGTTTAGTTGAGATGCTGTAGTGCAGGGTCTCCATGCTTTGAGGCGCAGACTCACACATTTGGCAAGGGAGGTGGCCCTGGTGCTGGGGAGTAACATGCCACCCAAATTTGGCCAAATTATAAACTCCAAAAAAACCCTGAGTTTACACATGTTCCATTTGTACACAGTCCCACATGACATTCTCATAAGCAAACGAGGGAAACATGGTCTAGCTTAAAATTATTATAAAATGGATGCAAAATTGGTAGAAGGACCGTAGCCAAAGAGTAGTTATCAATGGTTTGCTGTCAACTGTGGGGATGTAACACTGCAGGGGTCAGTCCAGGGTCCAGTACTATTCAATATTTTAATTAATGACTTGGATAATGGAGTGGAGAGTATGCTTATAAGTTAAAATTTGTGGATAACACCAAAATGGGTGGGGTTGCTAGAACTTCGGAAGACAGGATTAGAATTCAGAATGATCTTGAAAAATTAGAAATTGGTTCTGAAATCAACCAGATGAAATTCACTAAAGACAAGAGCAAATCAAATGCACAACTACAACATGGGGAATAACTAGCTAGGCAAGAATACTGCAGAAAAGGACTTGGGGGTTATAGCGGATCACAAATTGAATAAGAGTCAACAATGTGATGCAGCTGCAAAAAAGGCTAATATTCTGGGCTGTATTAACAACCGTATCATATGTTGGACGTGGGAAGCAACTGTCTTGCTCTACTTGGCACTGGTGAGGCCTTAGCTGCAGTGCTGTGTCCAGTTCTGGTTTCCACACGTTAAGAAAGATGTGGACAAACTGGAGAAAGTCCAGAGAACAGCTACAAAAATGGTAGAAGGTTTAGAAAACCGACCTCTGAGGAAAGGTTAAAAAAAAATAGGCTTGTTTAGTTTTGAGAAAAGAAGACTAATGGAAGACCTGCTAACAGACTTCAAATATGTAAAGGGCTGCTACAAAGAGAACTGTGATCAATTGTTCTCCATGTCCAGTGAAGACAGGACAAGAAGTAATGGGCTTAATCTGCAGCAAAGGAGATTTAGGTTAGCTGTTAGGAATTACTTTCTAACTATAAGGATAGTTAAGTGGAATCTAGGGGTGGATGTGGAATCCCCACCATTGGAGGTTTTTAAGAACAGGCTGGACAAACACCTATTGGGGATGGTCTAGGTTTACTTGGTCCAGCCTGAGCGCAGGGGGCTGGACTAGATGACCTCTCGAGGTTCTCCAAGTCCTACAGTTCTATGATTTTATGCTTATTAGAAACTTGTTAGAGACTGGTGGAGAAATTGTCTGCCAATTCTGGATGTACTGAGCATGCGTCAACCTAGGTCTGCAGGAGCTGGTCAGGACTTTCCTTGCAACTGCTTCTCCTGGCTGTCAGAGGCCACTGTGGTAGCAGGCACCAGAACTGAGAGCAGGGAGACACTCTCCCTTGTGCTCTCAATGCTCCCCCTGCTGGTGGGCCCAGGAGAAGGAGGAAGCTCCCTGACTGCAATGCAAAGGAGCAAGGAATGGGGTGGCAGGGGCGAAAAGGGAGATTGCAGGAGCAAGAGGTGGGAGAAGCAGAGGGGGAGCCATTGCCAGAGGCTGAGAGAAGTACAGAGGGCAGTGGAGGAAGGTGGGAGAATATATAGGCACAAAGGTGGAGGGGCAGAAGGCAAGGTAGGGGCATTGGATAGGAGCAAAGGGAAGTGGGGCAGGAGGAGGAGTGAGAGTGCAGAATGTTGATTATTTGCTGAGGGGGATGAGGAAGTAGGTAGGGATGACTCGGAGCACGGGGGAGACAGACAGCAGATGGGGGGACCGGGCAGGATCAGAGGTTGGGGTAGGAGTAGGGGGATAGTAGCAGGGTGGGAGAGCAGAATCTGGGATTGGGGGAGAATAGATAGAGAGATGGCCAGTGGATTGGAACAGAGACCGTTTGAGGGCACAGGAGCAGAAAGATTATAACCACTAGAGGACATGCCCTTCCAGAATCTGGAATTGAACTCAGACAACTGTGCCTTAAATCTCAGGGAGGAGGTGGCAGGGAGTAGAGATTGTGCGTTCCAGCACTAGCTCACCCATGGTGGGGAAAAGGCCTTGGGGGCCAAGCAGCAGCCTAGTGGCATTTCTGACATAGCTCTCCTATTCGGAGCCATCAGTGTTAACAAGACAAAATGGAATCTGGTTGTTCAGGCATGATCTGCCAGCCAGCCTGGGCATGGAAGCCATGCCATGGGGGCTGGAAAGACAGGTGCTTGCTGACCTTTGAGAGCAGTTTTCAGTAACTGCTGCGTCTCGGTATCGAACGACTGTATTTTATACTCTTCTTTGCCCGTGTCTCCCATGTCTGGCCTGCTCCGACAGCGCAGTTAGGGAAGTGGCTGTTAGTGGCAAACCCTGGAGAAGAGATCAAACACGGCTTAGTTAAGCAGGGAGATGGGCGAGGGTAAGTGTAGGTGTTTGTGTTGCCATTTGGGGAAACGCTGGAGCACTGTATGGTTTAACCAATTCACTAATGTAAAGAGCACTCAGTTATTTTGGGGTTGTAAGATTTTTCCAAACTCCAACCCCCAATCCTGCGAAACCATCATTATTATTTTTTAATAATCCCTGCCCTCTGCCACACTTTAACAAGGGGTCTTTGGCCAGTTGGCTCTCTTTGGTAGCCCATATATTTTCTGATATAATAACCCATTTAAACTGTTGATCTGCAGCTTCAGAAACAAACAGCCCATCCAGAGGCAACAAAAACACGTATTTTAAAGGGAGAAACAGCCTGAGCCTGTCACAGGGAAATGCACACAAGAGCACGGCATGGGTCTGTTGATTCATTTGCTCGCATGTGGCTTTGAACCTACAATTCAGCTGATTTTGCTCAAAGACACAGGGAAGATTCAAAACATACGGATGATCATCCAGTCCACCTCCCCCCTGCACTGTCAGTTAATAGCAGAGCTGCTTTCACACAGTGCCATTCCAAACTCATTGCCTTCAGAGGGGCTGTGCCAGAGATGAATCTTGCTCAGAGTGGCAAACAGAGATAGCGAGCAAATTCTACAGCCAACAACATTATTAAGTCTCTAGTCTCCTTTAGAGCTCACATTATTCTCCCTTGTACGAAATGATCTTAGAAACTCCTGGGTTTTCCTCTGCCTAGTTATTTTGGGGGAGTCGTCATTTCACATACGCACCCAGTCTTACCTAATATGAGACCAGCCACTGGTCGGTGCGGCACCAAACGTTTGCTGCAGGGCTGCAGTGGCCTGTGTCACAAACACTGGGAGGGCAAATGTCCAAGTGGAGCATTCAATGGGTTTTGCCAGCTCATCAGAATTCCACAGTCACTGTGCAAACAGCCTAGGAAGCAGCTATCAGGGATTAGCGAGATGAAGGCCATTGTCCTTAGAGGGACAAGGCACATATCTAAGTTGCTGTGATCATATAATACCTGCAATACTTCTTTGGCACTGCTCTGGGAGGCGGGGGGACCACACCCTTCTGTAAACCTGCAGCTGCCACCTACTCTCTCCCTGTTTCCCGTAAGATGTCTGAGATGGAATCTTTTCTAATGCACCACACAACATGTTACCTGGCTTGGAGCAGTCAGATCTATAAAATTAGAGGGTTGCACATACTGCTTAGGTAGGTCAAGCTGAACACCCAGCTGGGCCCTCACCCCCATCTGGGCAGCACCCCCCCTATAAGAGGGGGTTGCCAGAATTAAGAGGGTATAGCCCTGCAACCCAAAAGCAGCCTGCAACAGGCTGCTGTAAGTTAGAGCAACCCGTAAATGCTCTAACTTAGACAAGGGCCATTTTGGTTCCTGGAGCTGCCCAGAATCTGGAGAGTGCAGAGGTGGGGTAAAGCCACCTTTGCTCCCCGCACGGCTGCACCCGAAGCACAGCACAGAATCAGACCCAGTCATTGCAAGTTTCCTGTTTTCAAACACAGTAGAGACCTTCTAGCTCTCTCACAACTCTGTGCCTGACTATATTCTGGACAGCGGAACACACTCCTAGTCGAATATGTTGCCTGCCTAGAGACTTGGGTTTAGATATAGTTTATGCCCTCTAATGCATTTATAAGAAGATAGGAGCTTCCTTTTGATTTTACAGCAATGTTTAATTAGCAAACATTTTCTGGTTCTAAGTTACGGAAATTCACACAAGTTACAATCTCTTGCTCCCTGTCCACAAGGTGTGTCTCTTCCAGGTAAACTCCCCCTGGGTCTTATAACATGTACTTACTCAGAGCTCTGTGCGTATTCTCAATTAAATCATCTCCGTGCCAGAACTAGAGTAATATCATCAACAATAACTGAACTTCAGTATGCACATGATTGTGCTGTAGTTGCACCCTCAAAGAAGGATCTACAAACAGCCCTTAATTGCTTCTGTGAAGCTTACAAAAGCCTAGGACTAACTCCGAACATCAGCAAAGCAAAAAGTTCTACACCGGCCAGTCCCCGGTCAATCATCAGACCCAGCAAGGAAGATCTACATTGAAAAAGAAGAACTGGAAAATGTAGAATACTTTGCCTATCTTGGCAGCCATTTCTCACAGAGAGCAGAATGATGACTCACACAGAGCTCTGTGTGCAGTCTCCATTAAACTTCTCTTTCCTAATGAGGATGTGATGTCATTCCACTGCCTCAGGCAGAGCTTCATGAATGGTTGGCAGGGTAAGCGGTAGTTGTAGTCCACTTTCTGATTGCTGAGTCTGGGCTGGCATTTTGACACACCCTGCATGGTAACACTGTGCAGCACTTCCATCTTAGGCTGCAAGCTAGAGCGCTAGGAGGCTACAGGATCTGGTTCTCCCCTAGCCTTTTTCCCCTGAAGCATCACACCATTGCTAACACTGACAGAGCTCCCCACCAGTGGTCGCCTTAGTGTAAAGAGTGCATGGCTGCTGGCCTTTTTAACCACTGCATCAACTAACCCTGCTCAAAGCAAAGGCGGATGGCCAGATAGACACAGCACTGGCATTTTTACTATCGAATGATCCTACTGTGGCTAGCACTGGTGGAGCTGCACTGTGGCTAGCACGGGTGGGATGTTTGGGGAGAAAAGGCCCTGTGAAGACCAGCCATGAATGCTCAGCATAATAAACAACAAATCCCAGTTGTGTTCACTACTCCTGAGTCCCATCACTTCTCTGTTCCAAGGGACACCGCAGCATCAATGACTCTCAGTGCAATGAAGATCACAGAACAAAGAGGAGCAGGGAATGCAACACCCAAGTCTTTAAATAAGATTGGGCATCTTTCTAAAAACAAGATCGCCTAGCTCAGCCACAATATATGGCAGCAGTTGTCCAACTTTTTGACCTGAGCCCCTCTTTGAGTTACAATTTTTGGTTGCACTCCCTCAGATTTTCAGGGCGGGGGAAGGCGCATGCGATGGTCTCTTGGGGCAGAGCCATTGCTGGGCACCGAAGTGTTGACACTGACTCACAGGCTGGGTGGCCTGCTAAGGTGAGTCAGGGGGTGCAGGTGGTGCTCTCTCCTCAAGCCCCATCACCCACAGACAAAGCCTGAGCCACTTGGCATCACCACTCGCACCCCCGAACCCATGCCCCACAGTGTGAAAACCTCTGACATATGGGCTCTATGCAGGAACCAGTGGGTGGGGGTCTCTGGCCTCTGCGATGGAGGGGGTCAGACTAGATCAAGGGTTTTCAAACTGGGTGTCAGGACCGCTCAGGGGGTCACGAGGTCATTACATGGGGGGGTCACGAGCTGCCAACCTCCACCCCAAACCCCGCTTGCCTCCAGCATTTATAATGGTGTTAAATATATGAAAAAGTGTGTTTAATTTATTATGGGGGTCACACTCGGAGGCTTGCGATGTGAAAGGGATGGCCAGTAAAAAAGTTGGAGACCCACTGGACTAGATGATCATAATGGTCCCCTCTGGCCTTAAAATCTATGACTGCATTCAAGTATCTGCCACCTAGTCCCAATACCCCTCCCGCTTGTTAACGGCAGCATTTGGCAGCCAGTTCAGTAGTGGCCAGCTATGCAGCATGACTCCAGTTCCTTGCACAATGCAGATGGGCAAGAACAGAATACAGGGGCTGGGGCAGACACATAATTTGTGGATACGAAGAATGGAGCTTCTATTGACTGACAACCAAACACCCCCATTGGCCTCTCAGGAATTTCAGGCCACACCATGAGACTTCACTTCTTTTATTAAATCCTCTAAAGACTCAGTCACGTTTCTCCTCTTGGTCCTCTCTCCCTGTCTCCCACCACAGACATCTGGGCCGGAGCACGGTTGCTGCTCATTCTCCATAAAGAAGAGGATGAGAGTGTTTCAGAGGATGTGGTGAGAGCACCCAGAAGTCAAGTGGGTTGGCTGGAGAGAAGGCTCAGCACTCTTACTAACTGGGCAAGCACTCAGCTTCGTCTGAGCCTGCTCAGGTTTCTGGGGAATAGGAGGGTCTCACCCCTCCAAATGGGGATGAGCTGCCAACTGAGTGCAGAGTGAAGCCACTTACCAGCCCCAGCATGTGGGATGCTGCCATGGCTAGAAGCACATCACTCTACACAATGCACCTTCATAGGTTTAATGCTGCCACAAGGAGGTGGGGGGATGAGCTCCAGGAATTACCCCTGCTGCCTACCTTCCACACCCAAACACTGAGCTTCCCAGGCCTGGATCAGAGATCCTCAGAAGCCCAGGAGAAAATAACTCAACCTAAGAAGATAACAAGTGATCCCACCAGTAAATGTTTCATCCGTCCCTGAAGATCCTTTACCCACCACAGAAGAGTCATTACATGGCTGCTGGGGAGGAGCAGGATAAAACACAGGACTTGGTACATATGAAACTGTCCCGAGCAACTCAGTTGGCTGCTGGTTCCTTGACATATTTTATAACACTGCTGTGGGAGCCCCACCTCCACTACTCCCAACTATATCCTGTCAGTCTGATACCAGCCTCCCCACATTAGAGCTCAGCAAAGGCTCCATACAAACAGTAAGAGTGAGCAACAGGACTGAAGTTCCCTCACTCAAGTGACTGACTATTAATACCTTCCCCAAATCTTGGGGCTCATCTCCTGACATGTGGGCAGGGAAAGCAGTAGGGCAGTATAACAGGGCTCTCCCAACATTAAAATCTCTGATTCCAACTAAAACCACTACAAAAGAGAGTAAGGATAGTCCCACTGCTTTGGATACTAGGCTGGGACGTGGGAGACCCTGGGTTCAAGTCCCTTCTCTACTACAGACTCCCTGTGTGAGCTCAGGCAAGTCACAGTCTCTCTGTGCCTCAGTTCCCCATCTGTAAACTGTCCTGCCTCATAGTGTTGAGGATAAAAACATTAAAATTGTAAGGTGTTTAGATACTTTGGTAATGAGAGCCATGAATACCCAAGATAGACCAGGGAGTCAAGATTTTCCTCTTGCCAGGACTAGGTTATCTATAATGTGTGTGGGTGTGGCTGGTGATAGTGGGGTTGAAGGTCCACCCTGAGGGGGGGGAGGGTTAAATACCCAGAACTTGCTGTGGGGTGGTTGATATACTTTACAACACAATTTTAGGGGCATGTCTCTCTATCCATTTACGTTTTAAGAAGGAACCCCATCACGATAGTACGTAAACAGCCACCTATATATTAATTTACAGCAGGGGAACACTTTCCCATTGTTTGTCAGCAGGAGGGGGGAAAGATCAGGATATCAATGTAAATTTCAAGCATAAAACAATTATGAAAGTGCCTGCCCTCTCACCTGTTTTTAGGAATTTATCTATCTAGGTTAGCTGGTTAAGAGAAAAGTGATTTTAGGCCTCAAAAACTACAGAAAAATTGCCTCAAATTATGGCCACCATTAAATTACAAACTCTCTCCCTGGATAAGGAAAAATAATAAACAAAAAAGTTACTGAAAAAGCCTAGAACGGGACCAAGGAATTAGGTGTTTGGTTTGCTTTAAAATCACGATAGCAGTCGAGAAAATAAGCAGAGAAATGTCCCGGCTTGAAAAATAATTGCTGCTCCACCCAAGAGAGGCAAAAGTTTGTTTCTGAAACTAACCAGAGCAGCCCAGCGCAGCCCAGCCCAGCCAGATTTGCAAATGTCACCAACCTGCTCCGGCTTTTCTCTTCGCTCTCCCGGAGAGTTTTCTTTTCAGGACTCGAGCGCTCGCATCTTTGGTGCCTTATTTGCATAGAGAAGAACCGCCCCTACCCCTAATTCTTCTTGCTTTCTGGTTCGGGTTTTTGGAGATAGATCAGGAAAAAACCTAGCGCCAAGAACAGCAGCAGCAGAAGCAGGAAAGGCAGGAGCTCAAGCATGGAATGCAAATGCAAGATGGGCATCCTTCTTGCACTCGCCCCTCCACCAGGAAAGCGCCCTGCGAGACCCCAGCTGGCAGGATCAGGCGGAAAATCCCAGCTGCTGCTCTTACTTTTCAGCTTCTTTGGGGTCAGTGATTGCCACCAGGCAGATTCTTTCCATTGCAAACCTGCGGGTTTCCTCTTAGGTCATTTCCTAGCAGCCGGAGCCAAGGGGAGGAGGGACTTGGGAGTGCTGAAACAGCAGCGCCACCGCCTGGAAGCACCAGGATTTACGCAACCTTCTGCATTCACCTATCCATCTCTTTCGTTGCATCCCCCTGCTCTTTTTCATCATCCTACGACTTGGGGGAGTGGGGTGGGAGTGGGGGTTACAGTGTGCGCGTTTCCCTCTGACTCAGACTGTTGTCTCCCAGTCAGAAGAGCTCTTCGTTCACAGCTGTATTTTAATGCTAGGTTTTGACCGTACAATCTTTTGACTTTTCTGTGTTAACTTAGCCCTAGCGAAAGGCTGCAGCCCTCTGTTTAAACGCAGGACAGGTACAGCACAGCAAAAGAAGCTGCCTTGCAGATTCCCCACACTGTCCTGCAAACATGCCCCACTCCTGCCCTGTAGGAATCTACTTTCTAGGCATGTGAGTCCTTCCCACTCCGTGGTCCATTCAATCTTTGGCCTTTGTTGGCACTACCAGCATAGGGAGAGGGGGCGCACAATTTTCACTAGTGGTTATGGTGATTAATGAAAAACTACTCACTGGGAACTGGGCATGCCTATATCCAACAGGCCTCATGTGCCTCCAAGCAGACACCACATGGTGGTAACTTTCTGATCAGTTCATGTGCTTGAAGCTGATGGTTACACTTTTCCTCTTTTCAGGTTATTCCTTTTGTACAGTAGTAGTCCACGGCTTCACATTCTCCTCTGTTAGCTTGGAAGTCTGGGGTTTGCTCATAAGCAAATAACTCAACCTCTTATTCTTGCTTTCGTATTTTCCTTCACAGTTTATAAGTGAACTTCAGAAGCTTGAAACTGAAATCTATTTACTCTTCTATTTTTCCCTCCCTCTCTAAGATAGGAAACCCGATGAGTATGTTGGAGCAGAACTGCTCAGGTCTTGGCACTAGGGTTTTACTTGCAAGGTAGGAAAAAACATTTGAAGAATTTAAGAAGGGGAAAAATATATGAGCTCTAACAAAAAATAAAAATAAAGAGCAAGAGGGAACAGGCCAGCTCCCTTTAACAACGTCTCAAAAGAGCAGGTGCTGTAGAACACACTTTATGCTCCAAAGTTACCATGTGCTTAATGTGTGATGAGTGCTGGTCATTACTCCTTAGCATTAGCATATTTATACAAAGTAGAACAAGCCTACTCTTGAAGCTAGAAAGCAGCTTTAGTGAATGAAGAATGAGCAGCTTTTGATAACATTCTGCAACACTGTGTTACGGATACATATAAACTAAGTCTGAACTTGTCTACCACAGATTGGCGAAGTAGGTCAAACATCTGCTGCTTTAATACTCACACAGTGGAATGACCAAGCTTGTGCAAATCCATTTGGACAATCATTAGTTATTGTGCAGTAATGGATATCTAAGCACTGAAGCCATCTCCTGCTTTGCGGTTGGGGCAACGGTGCCCTCTAGTGACCAAGCCCAGGAACTTTGGAATTCCAATAACAAATATGGTTGCATCTGCAGTATAATTCATGAGCCTTGATCTCACTGCAGTCAACAGGAGCAAGATCAGGCCCTTGTTAGAGAGTGTTTGTCCAAAATGATCTAACTGCATCACCCCATCATGTACATGGTTTGAGTGTTTGCAAAGAGATGAAAGGAAAAGCCAGACAGGAACATAATAAATATTTAATGTTTTCTTTCCTCTCTTTAGAGACAGGCACACATTAAACATATATTGTGAAAAAACACAGCTGATCAGAAGCCTTAAGTCTACTGAATTCACAAAAGGTCCATTCAGATGATCGCTAGAAATGCTGCAGAGGATTAAGGCTCTGCATAACAATGGAGGCTTAAAATCAAAAGGGAAAATAACCCACTTCAGTAACCAATCCTAGAACATTTGTTTTTTTCACTGAAGCACCCAATCCAGCTCTGTGCAAACATCCCGAGAGATGAATGTTACTGTACATGAGTTAAGGTAATCAGTGCTATTGGAAATAATACACATGCTATTGGAAAGTATTTGTTGCAGTATTTGCACATAGAGGATCCAATGGCCAAGGCTAGGTGGCAACTGTTGTGGATTCCATAACAGCTACTGTATTATTAGTATGTTGTACTTTGCTTAGTAAAGTGTTTTGCTTTACCCAAATGATAAAAGGCACTAGGATAAAAACAAATGCAATTGCTGAGCAGCTTGTGGGGTGAATTTCAGGCAAAGCAAATCCTCACTGATAGGATTACATTAGAATAAAATTCCAACAATCGCCACCAGTTAGACTGTGGCACAGTCTCATGGGGGAAGTAGTGCAAGCCCTATTGATTGAGTCACTGAAAATTGGACTGAAGACAGGTATACAGTCAAAAACAACAACCCTGCCCTTGCAGGTGGGAGGAACAAGGTAACCTAATAGATCTTTTCCATCTCTTAATTTATCTGATTCTAGGAAATATAACCCCAATATACTAATCTGCAAAATTCAACAGTAGCAAAATAAGACCCATCTTGCTAATTCTTTGTATTAAACCAGTATCTCTCTCCTTTACCTAAGGGGAATCAATGCTCTCGTTTTTAGCCACTTCCCCTCCTTGTGATGTGACTCATGTTTAGAGACTAGTGATGGGCACATTAGAAATACTTTAAAGACACAGACATCGAGGGTGGGAGGTGAAATGACTATCATGGTTTGTCTTTTCATTCTACTACAGAAGTCACTAAATCCCTTCCCCACCAGCTAAATGATCATATAAAGACCCATCACATGTATGATCAACAGCCCAGTGTGCAACAAACCAGGATCAGGGTGGAGGCTCTCTGCCCATTCATTCCCTCCTAGTGCACATGGAGGCTCACCAGGCTGCTTCAGAAAAATTAAAAACAAACACAAACTATACACAAACAATTCCAAACTCCTCAAGCTTCTTTGCCCTTCAGTCCAGAGAAGGGACTATGACAGGTTTAGAAGATCGTTTAATCCACAATAGAGAGGGTTTGGAAATATTTCCAAGGAGGAAGATCTGCTCCAATGCCCTCCACAGAGCAACCATGTCATTTCTCTCAGTGTATCTGGCAGTTCTCAGGTCTTTCTCAAGCCCCCACAAGAGATTCAAAGAATTAATCTCCCAACTACACCAGGTGCTCAGCAATTCCTTGACTCTATGATGATCAAAGAGTCACTAGTTTCCACAGGACTGTCTTCGTTATTTTAAGGTAGATTAAAAAAAAATCTTTATAGCATCTGTTTAATCATGACAAAATAGCAAAGCAGAGCCCCAACATGTCAGTGCGAAGCAAAAATGGGTTTTGTGCATTTAGAGAGCTTCCTGAGAGCAAACAGCATTAGCGCTGCAGACCTGTTTGTAAGAGCATTACACTAGCAAAGTAGAACCCTAAGAGGCCCACAGCAGAACTCTCAGGCAGAATAAGGAACACTTGTAAAACAAAAGTAAGCTTGCCACTTGTAGCGAGAAAGCAAATCGGCGTTGGCATAAACGTTGCTAGATGATGCTATGTTTAAAGTGGCGGAGGATGTGGAGCTGGTAAATGTTCATGGCAAAGAGAAGACAGGTGTCTATGCAGAATAAGGAAGGGGTTACCTGTACAGCAAGGAGATGAGAATATGCAGCAAATGGACAGGCCCCAAGCAGAGGGCTGAAGCTTTGCAGATGTGGCATCATTTGACACTAGTTGAGTGGCACTAGCTAAGCCAGATGGGTCCCTGTGCTTGAAGGATTTCACACATTTGATCAGATGCCTCTTCAGAGCATGTTGCCAGATGGGTAGTAGAATTAGGTTTTTATAAAACCTCTTCTCCCAAAGTGAATGCTGATACTATAGGAGATATGATGGAAGATGCTCAGTGTACCCCAGGGCTCAGTGTCCTCAACTGAAGCTGCAGTCACCTGCTCCTTTGGTTTTGTTCCAAACAGATCTTTCCTCCAAAGCTAGTGGGCATGTGTTTTCAGAGCCCTGGCAGGGAGGAGCCATTCCCCACCCCACTCCATGTGACAATGAGGCCACTAGTCTTACTCTTCCACAGAGTAATTGCAGCTGATGAGTCCTGCCTCTTCAGCCTTCCTGTCCCTTAGTGCTGCCAGTGTCCTTCAGGGCATATAGCAGGTTGCAGAAGAACTCATACCAGAAGAAGGTGAAGCCAGTAGAGAGAGCAGCCTTCAGCAAGCTGGGGGAGAGACCCTTAAACAATCCAACAGGCCCCTCCTCTCGCACAATCTGCCCAGCACAGTCCATTAAACCCTTGTACGTCCGCACCTGGGGGAGAAGAGTTGAGAGAGTAAAGACAACAACAGCACAAGCTCAGCTCACCTGGGCAGGATTCTCTCAGAAACCTCTGTATCATATTCCACACATCCAGGAAAGGGACTCAGAGGACTTGAAAGAAACCCAAAGGCTGTATCAAAAATGTATTCTAGATACATACAATGGAGATTCTACGGATATTCACTATGACTAACTGGCAGCATCAGAGAATCAATCTGAGTGCACACTGATTTGTAGATGCAGGCACCACAAATTACATTTACCATTATCAGCAACAGCTTACACGCCAACTGAATGACAAGAAATCCTTTATACCACACCTCATGCAGTGTTCATGCTACAGTTTGCAGAGCAACTGCTTCAGAATGTGCTGGTATTATTTTCCATATAGATTCATACACTTTTAGGCCAGAAGGGACCATCATGATTATCCAAGTCTGACCTCCTGCACATTGCAAGCCATAGAACTTTACCCACCCACTCCTTAATAGACCCATAACCTCTGGCTGAGTTACTGATGTCCTCAAAACATGATTTAAAGACTTCAAGGTGCAGAGAATCCACCATTTACACTAGTTTAAACCTGCAAATGATCCCTGCTCCATGCTGCAGAGGAAGGCAACCCTCCCTTTCTCAAGCTCAGTCGTGAAGCCAGTAAGGTTTTTTGCCCCCACTGCTCCCCGTGGAAGGCTGTTCAGAACTTCACTCCTCTGATGGT